ATGATGACACACCAGGTCCAAGTTAACTTTCATACACACACAGAACTACCAAAAGAGGAGGAGTGGGGGTTGTCTGTCATGTCGAACGCCGAAGAAATTCAATTAAGCAGACAGCAGGATGCCACAGAAACCCTGCCTCTTTGTGCTGAATATGCCCTCAACAGTCCCTAGACTTCCACCCCCCCCCAACCCCTCCAAGCTTCCCAGCCAACCCCTTACAGCCACCCAGCCACTCCCCCGCACCACAAGTCCTTTTGTGGGCTCCCTTTCAGACATTCCTCTCACGGTTCCCCATCTGCCTCTATAGAAGTGAAAATCTTTGAGAACTGAATTAGCCCAAAATAATAAATATAAATAAATTAAAAAAAAAAACATAAATTGCAAATAAAATATTTAACGTAATGGCACAATTACAATGTAACTGTGCCATTTAGGCAATTGGGTTTTTACATCACTGACGCCAAAATCAATTGATCCTATTCACCCTCCTGTCGTTCCATCTGTGTGGATTTGGCAACCACACGGATGCTGTTCATTTAGCAACTGAGCGCCATCTTGAGCTGGTCTTCTAAATGCTCAAGGCAACCACTGGCATTTGGACCGGATCAAAAAGGCCACTTTGACGACCCCACACCACGAGCAGTTCTGACCCTGGGACATGGCTGTTCAAATAAAAATTCCAAGAATTTCAACTTGGGGAGTACTTGATCCTGGGGGAAAGTATAGTTGACATACAAAAGTTTAGAGAACATTTTCGATTGCTCTGAGAAAGAACCCATTCCCAGTCAAATAAAACATACATAATGATACACGTAGCATCACTTTGTTATTTGGATATTGTGCAATACCGATCATAAGACCAGGAGGACATGTGATGGTTGGCATCATGCCAAACTAGATCAAACCAGTCTCATTACCAGTGCATTAGTTAGCTGGTCTAAAGAAATGAACAGTTTATAGACGCTTGTCTTGCGTGATATTTTATGATGAGCAAACAGAGCCAGAGCCTCAGGAGCAAACTATGTCACAAACCGGTGGAGCCAAACAGCAGCTGGTCAAGGTGCAACACTGTTGGAGATTCCTGTTACATAACACTAGACAAACACTGTCAGAAATGCACTTCAGCGGGAGTGTTTGTGTGTTTCCTCAGGACTCAGGGCAGATGCATGTATTTTGTGTCTGGTTTCACCAAAAGACGTTAACCAAAGAGCTGTGAAATATCTCAGCACTGTAGAGCAAACAAGCTACGCTTAAATACATGAACGCTAACACAGCTGGCAGACAACACAGGTCGAGCTACAGCCAGAGATCGACAAACACTGAGTTTGATGACAGATGTGTAGAGCTAACCGCCGCGCACATTTCAGAGCAGTCAGATAAAAACATGTTTATTATCGAGGGATTCAAATTATTAATGGCATTTGTTAGGTTTTACTGTAGGTTGCCATTAATAAAACTTTCCTCAGATTTTGTTTTTGTTTTGTTAATGAAAGCATTCCTTCCACTAAGCAGATCAAGCAGAGGTATTAGACCATGTGCCTGTTAAATGAGGCTTAGTGTTGTGGGGTTTTTGTTTGTTTTTTTGACATTCTGATACAAGTTTGAATTTTTGCAGTTCACAACAGGGACATTGATTTCACACAGGAGACACAAAGTCTCCCCTGTGTCTAAAGACAACACACAAAGTTAAGAAACGAAGTCTCCCCTGTGTCTAAAGACAACACCTTCAATCAACACACAAAGTTAAGAAAACTCTCCTTCCGCAGGGACCCTGAAGGCAACATTAAAATAATTTCACATTTGTGCATCTAAGGTTTTACAGTAAGTATAGGTTGGGATCAGCATACGTTGTCACTGACAATATTTACTTTTTAAAAAAGTGATGTAACTGTTGAAAAAGTAATAGTTTCACCAGTGACTGGTGTTTGTGTTTTTTTAGGTGTTTTCTTTTTCAGAACTCTCTGCTTCTGTACATGTTTTTTAAATCTCAGTCGGAGTTGAAAACTATTCTGAACCGACCTGTTAGAAGAGCCTGTGGTCAGGTGTATTGTCCACGGTGTTTACTAGTTTGTTGACTGATGCAGGTCATGTTCAAACTCACCATTGAGACCATTGGGGATGCTTCTGTGATGGTGTGGTGCTGACAAGTCATCCATGGACCTCCTCATGGTGGGCCCGCTTTTAATGTTCTCTGACGGCTTGTGTATACTATTGTGATTATGATGATCTGGACTGCCTGCACTCCCGGTGCTGGACGTGCTGCTGCCGTCTCCCACATCCCTGACATTGTTGCTGCCACCATTCAGGTTGGTCAAACTGGACTGACTGTCTATGGAGCTTCTGGAGCCCGCCTCGTTCCTTTCTTCGTCCAGCATGACTATGATCTCCTTCAGCTCAGAATTCTCCCTCAGCACGGTCTCCTGGTTGGCCTCCAGCTCCTTCAGCTTCATCACGTAGGTGCCCACCTCCTTCCACATGGCAGTGGCAGTGTAGCGGCCGAAGCGCTGCCACTCTCGGGACAGCTTTTTGCCCTTCTGTCGGTCATCGTCCAAGAAGCAGCAGAGCTCCCGGAGCTCATGGTTGTCGTCCTGCAGCTTCTGGTTGATCTCCTTCAAGTTTCGGATCTCGTGCAGGTGCACCTGCAGCCTCCTGTTGATGTCTTTCATCATGTTCCCGTGCTCGATCATCAGGTTCATCTTCTCGCCCTCCACCTTCCTCAGCTGGCGGAGCAGCTCCTCTTTGCTGCACCGCAGCAGCTCCTCGTCTGTTAATTGGATCACATCATCCTTTGCTCCCTCGGACGGATTTTTGGCCATGACAATTCTATGGCTATGGGTCTCAGTTTTTTATAAAAGAAAAAAAAATGCTTTGAAAAAATGTACCACTCAGAACCGACGCACGATTGTGGACTTCTGTTAAGGAGGAAACATATTGTAGAAAAGTAGCGCTCCGCTTCAACAGGGCAAATGATGCAAATATAAACCGACGGTCTTCACTGATCTTTAAAGGAAATATCCCGTGTTGATGTGTTGAACACCGCTGCTCACATTACCTGAAAAACAAGGACACGTGATTATTTTTAAATAAATGCCCGGTGCTTTCCAAACACGTCCATGGTCCAATAAGCGCACGTTCCTTTACACTGGCCCCCGTCTGACCGTCGCTTCATTCACTTATAAACAAACAGAACCAAAATAAGCTTTTCTTTTTTCTTTTTAGCCTTAATATAAAGCATGCGGAATATTATGGATCAGGAGCGAAAAAAAATACTTTTCGTGATTGCTCCCCGAGGCGGAGCGTTCATCTGCCGAACCTTTCCATTGTGGACGGACTCACTGAAGGTTTCCCATCCGGTCAGCCCACTTAGAATTAAAAGAGGAATCCCCTCCTCTCTCTCCTCCCCTTCTTCAACCCCGTCCTCGCTGACCAAATACCAGGGTTTGAAATCATTCAAGAGGATTTCGGTGAAGACGGCCAATCACGACGTTGGAGAGAAGTGCGCAGCAGGTACAGAAGATGAGCTGCGGCTCAGACTCAGCCCTCTTAAAGCAACAGGCAGCGGATATGTCGTACAGCGTAATAACAACAATAACAACATCAAAAACAATAATAATGACAATAAGAAGAACCGTGTTTTATTCTTACCATATTATTATTATGCAGTTTAAACACTTAAAAAGAAGAACAACATTCGCGATTGTAGACGATACATCTCGATACAAAAGTTGTATATGTATATCTAAAAATATATATTTTTAATTGATGGTTAATGTTTTAGAGCATAATTTTAGTTTTGCCAAACTTTAGCTTAATCAATAACAATAAAAGAGGTCTTATCTGGTCTCAAAAATACTACTCTAAAATAAAGTAAAAATGATTTATAGTAAAATTATTGGTCTCCCTTGTTGACTTGATGCATAATTCAAACATTTCTCTAAATCAGCCAACTACTACAAGCTCATTCTCAGCAGTCCGCAAAATCTGATTTAACAATAAGTATTTTTAGCTTTATAAATCTCCATGCACCATTGTTGACAGGCGCTTCGAAAATTGTTTGCTGGGTTTACAGCGCCATCTAGAGTATTCCATTGGCTTCAACCAACACCTTGAAACGAGAGATTTCCAATGAAAGAAGCAAAGTATGAACAAAGCCAATATGATTAAAACGTTACATTTAGTATCTTTTAACAGTTAGAGTTAACGTTAAGGAAACTTAAAGTTGCATCACTTCTGCTGGTAATCCCTGTGTCTTATGTGGCACACCACTCCACTCTTCGGTCTCAGGGTGCCAGTATCCATGATGTCGAGAGTTTGTCCAGGGACCAGAGTGAAATCAAATCGTTGGATCAGTTTAGCCATCACTATCTTAGCCTCCATCTGAAAGTACAGTTATTATCTTAATCTCATCACAAGCTCAAATGTAATGAATCCAACTGCAATGCTAATGAAGTCTCTTGTGTGCAATATTGGTCTTTATTTCCAAAAAATATTTTAGATTAATTTGAAATCTCAGTGTGAGAGAAACTGGAAGACTGACCAGATCTGAGATTAGATTTTGTTTGTCACTACATTTGGTGTAGATAAATTATTGTCAGAACCAACATCCTGTATTGTAATCACCACCCACCTGAGCAAAGTTCTGTCCCAGACATGAGCGTGGACCCAGGGCGAAGGGGTAGTAACAGTAATATGGCCTTTATGGGAGGTGGGAGACAAAATCACTGTCTGATGGAGGAGCAGCAATCTAACATGGCAACAAAACTACAACTCCAGTGTGACTTACTTAGGAGCATCTGGGTGGAATCTGTCTGGGTCAAATTTCCAAGGGTCCTTGAAGAATTTGTCCATTCTTCCAGTCACATACGTACTGAGCTAAATTAGAAAACAAATTTACAGAAACTGTTTTTCTAATACATACTGTAAAACGCAGTAAAATTTGGAGGCTGTGTATTTTATGTGATACAATACAATAAAGGCATTCCAAAACGTAACAACTCACCATGCAGCTGACTCCCCCTGGTATGTGGATTCCATCAATCACCATGTCATCCTGTATATCACGAGAAGTCCCCGGGGCTGTTGGATACAACCTCAGCGTTTCTTTGAGAACCTATGATAACACAGAACATCAGTGGATCTCAATATGGCTGTCAAAATAAACCTAGCATGTCTTTTTGAAAGCTTCAACTTCCGGTCAGACGCTAAGACTGACAAGCTGATTGACCAACATTAGACCTGTTAGAGACTGTCTATACCTGTGTGAGGTAGTTCAGCTCTCCCAGGTTGTCATAGCTTATGTCGTGTTTCATCCCAATGACCTCATCGACCTCTTTCCTCACTCTAAGAAACGCAGCACCGAATGACAAAAAATCCATCAACTCGAATCCATCAAATAATTAAAGTGTTAGTAAATATTTTACAGCATTGTCGGTCCTTACTTCTCCAGTATGTCGGGGTTGTTTGCCAGTGCCATGACACAGAAAGCAAGCTGATTTGCTGTTGTTTCTTGGCCTATTTGTAAAACAAAACTAATGAAACTGCACCTGTAAGGTTGATTGGGAACATTACACAGCCATGGGCACAAAAAAGCAGACTCACCTGCAATAAAGAAAGTCACAAAATTGTCCAACATAAACTCTTCATCTTCTTCAGTCATGGTCTCCTCTTAAAGAGAAAAATCAGAAAAAAATAATTAACATCGTTTTTGTGTATTTCAGTCATGGTCTCCTCTTAAAGAGAAATATCAGAAAAAAATAATTAATCATTTTTGTGTATTGTAACTATATTGTTCTGTATTTAGCCCTTCTGAACAGCACCTCTGCTAACATAAGTGTAAAGCTGGTGATGCATGGACTATATTAAAATAAAATTATACTGATGAAGAGCTGTAACAGTAGGTGTATTTGTCACTAAGCGTTCGGTACGAATACACAGGTTCTGACACAATATGCTATCAAAAGTACAGGGCTAATGCAGCTTCCATCAATGCTTTGCCCCATAAAAATGTAAACATTAAGGTGTGTCACCTTCGCCGGCTGATTTGATGATTTGCGTTAGAATGTCTTTGGGGACATCTTCTCCATTTTGCATGGCAGTCTTTCTTTCATTGATCCACTGGGCACCAGTTTGACGCAGCAGGCAGCATGCCTTCCTCACTTCTTTAATAAACGGCCTGTTCTTTGGATTAAACTAAAATGATAAAAGTTAAAGGTTAAAACAGTACAATTATCAATTGATGTATGCAAACAATATGTAGGATAAAACTTGCTTCAAAAAGAAGATCCCGTAAGTAAAAGATCATTCCTTTCATACACAAATCAATAGCTTTTTGGAAAGGTGATCTGTTCTTCTGCAGGTTCAAATCCACACCAAAGGCAACCTAATGGTCAACACATGGGGATGAAACAAAAACTACAATGTACACCTGGACATGCAAGTGGATGAAGGAAAAATTGGAACAAACTAATATGATACCTTAGCGATAACATCAAGAGTTACAGTGTTGAACAGGCTGAGCATGGTGATTTCTGTTTTGTTGTCAGCGGCATCAGTGAACTTGTCCATCAGTTTTTCAGCCAACTTATTGAAAGTTCCTGTAAGACCTTTTAAATACCTAGGGACATTTATATCGCGTGAGTGACACAAACCTAAGCGTCTCCAAAGTCTTCTTGAGGCTAGCAAAGAACTCACAGGCTGCTGAAGGCAGGATCCATTATCCGGCGCTGTTTATACCACTGCTCATGGTCCCGAGCTGTTATCAGGCCGTTGCCCAATAATCTTTAAACAAATATAATGTATTAATAATTTTCAAAATAAAACTCACCTGACACATCTCCATTTAGCACAGTGTTACTAACAAAACATGCCCTGCAGGGTTATCAGTAATATCACATAATGCAATGCCTTACTTGATCTTATCAGTCATCATTTACCTTTGACCAAACAGGTTGAAGAGTCTCTTGTAAACAAATTTATCTTTTAGGTACTTTGGGGACATCAGGAGTTCCTGTAACCCAACCATTCAAAGGTACATTTAAGAGTAGCATAAACGTTGAATGCACACGTTAAAACATGTATATGACATGTGTTATCCTAATGTTATGATAATTATGCATGTTTGCTTTCACATTAGTAGCTCAGTGTTCAACTGACTTGTACTGTTTACCTTGGTTGCCTCTGGGCTGTAGATACACAGACACACACTATGCAGAACGTTTATTCGGTAAACACTTCCATAGCGTTCCGCCCTGTGGATGAAAACTTCAGAATAACCTTTAACGTCCAGAACATGTTTTTGTTTAAGAAAACAAAAACAAGTAGAACGGGAAGGGAAAACAAACACGTGCTGTTCTACAAACATGGATGAGCTCTTCAACAAACTCACCATTTCAGGAATGTGTCGTGAAGGTTGCCATCATTTTTCATTACCTTCCAAAAAGTCTGAGAATGTCCGAGTAAAAAACTACGGAAACAAAAGCGTGTGTTCAGCAGAGCAAACAGATTCATTGCGTCGCAACAATTAATCCATGCATCACTTACTTGTCCCTCGGTGGTCCAGGTATGTGGTCATATTTCATATGAATGTGTTTAATATACACGCAGTAACCGAGAAATGCCAAGAGAAACAACAGTACGAGATAATACAGCGCTTGTGCGGATAAGTATAAAAGACCTACGAAGAGCGCCATTGTACTTCAGACTGAGACTGTCTGCTCTGCCAGGACAGTGAAATTGAACTATGAACTTGGTAGAACCAAAACAATCATACTATCTACTTTGAACATTGATCAAATTCTATTTAAAGAACGGCTCCATAGGTCAGTGGTTATGGAGCTACGTGTGTTTTTATGTCCTAGATTATGATGTTTCCACTGTGTTAATGTATGTGAGTCACAAAGTGTGAGATCCGACAGATCGGGTTATATATGCGCAGGCCAAACAATGTTTTTTTAATAAAAAAAAATAATAATTTACCCATTTACCTATGTTTGAAAACACGAAAAATGTCACATCCTTTGGTATTAAAAAAAACCCGTCACTTCACTACTTCATATAACAAGTAAATCCGAATAAATAACGTCAAAGCAACAGTTTGTTTAACTACATATTTATAATATAATATAAAATTTATTACATAAATGGGCTCCATAGCTCAGTGGTTAGAGCACTGGTCTTGTAAACCAGGGGTCGCGAGTTCGATCCTCGCTGGGGCCTCTGCCCTTTTCATATGATAGGTCCATCTTACTACGTCCGGTTTTGTTTTTATATTGTCCTTGTTTTGTTGAAGTACAATCACAAAGGTTTTACTGAGATTTTTTTTTTTTTTTTAAAAAAAGACAAAACAAAAAAATAATCAACATCATTGACAATTTTAAACAGGATTACAAAAAGGTATTTTCATTACCACTATTTTCATATCCGAAAAACAGTACGTACAGCAATCCACACACCCTGGTCCATTCACACGTTAAAACTGAAAGTGAAATATCAATAAATAATCTAGAGAGAAAGAATATAATTAATGAAGATTCCCTCCATCTCCGTCAGAATCAGCGTGCTTATAACATCCTGCTTAATATCCATGCACAGGTTAAAAAATATTTAAAAAATGTTTTATTAAAATAAAAGTATTTTATGAGAATGTTGGCGAAGATGCATCAACTATGTACGAAGGAGAGTTTGCGTAATAGCTCATATGAACCAGCAGATGGAGAGCTTTCTCCGTTAACATGTAGTCACTGTCCTAAGTGGACAGTGTACAGTATACCAACGACAAAATCAGACCAAAAAATAAAATAAAATAAAAAATGCAAGGTAACAAAAATAAACAGTAAGGTAGTGAATAACTGCTTTGATCAATGTGGCCTTCTTTTTTGTACATCTGAATTCCAGATGACTATACATTGATAGAAACCAGAATATGCAAATGAAAATAGTTTAACCTGGATTTATATCACTGTTATATGATAATCACAACCAAATGTTTGTTTAGAAATGCTCTAAAACCTCCTTGTCAGAACAAGGCCGTCCTTTCTTGCCCGTTTAGTCGAGGAATAAAGTCCAGAGAATCCCTAAGGACCACTGGTATTCATTTAAGTCCTGTATGTCGAGCAGCTAAAGCACGTTTGTTAGCATTTACACAGTACGGTGTTTCCAGTACAGCTGTTTTTCATGACTTCACTGAGGCCTTCACAGTCCCTGTATGTTTGCGTAGAGTTTCCAACAGTCAGCAGGGTGAAGTGAAGGTGGTCGCTGCAGCCTGCAGCAGCAGCACTGACTTGAAGGGCCGTACTGTTTGCAGGTTGACCGGCCGCAGTACAGCCAGAGGAAGTCTCACGTTCCTGCCAGCCTACAAAAGTAAACAGATCTGTACCCACTGAGTGATGGCAGGAGGCCTGGGCCACCAGCAGAAGAGCTGAAGGAATGAGTCAAACACACACACTCATTGCCTGGTCTGAGTATAAGTGTATGTTAGGACAAGAGGAAAAAGAAGTGTTAGCGTTACACTTTCTATGTGAACTGAGCCATAGGATCCGCTTCAGAAACATAATGCCCATGTTCTCCATGGACCATGAAGTCCAGTCTCCTGATAGTTCTAGTAACTGTTGCTTTACTCCACATTTCTGATAACATCTTTCGGAGATGCTATTTTCTTTTTTTTTTAAATCAATTTTCCTTCTTCTTATTTTATTTCCTTTCCCCTGGATTCACTGGCTTTTCTCAGCTTTCTCCTCTGTATACACATCTGCAGTTATTTATCTGTTTTTCTGCAGCCACAATGTGGTCAACATGTGTCTGGGTCTGCTCCACACAGCACGCATCTCCAGTCAACCTAGGATATCAGCGGAGGAGCTTAATGAACCCAGCGAGCTCCAAAGAGTTCATAACACAGCAGAGCATTAACGTGGAGGATGATTTCTCGGTATCTCTGTGACATCAGTACACTCTGTCCTTACTGTGTGCCACCTTTGACCTAATGTTTGATTACAGGGGCATACAAATCCAAAGGATAAAGCAGGACCGACGGTTACAGAAGCCAAGAATCCTGATTTGTCTAAGACTATGGATTTAGATTACCTCGACCTTTGGTTATTTAATCCGGCTGTAATTTAATCCTGCACAAAGCCTATTGGTCAACACAGTGTCAGAAGTACTTTAGCTGGACCTACGAACCGCAGTAATGATGGCAAACGGGGACATTGGTAAATAGACAGGATATGCCAGACTCCATCTGTCAATTTGAATTTAATGGATTTAAGGACTCATAGTTATCCTAGGAATTTCAGACTACGGAACAAGTTGCAATGATTTATGTGAAATTCAAACCTCAGGAATTGTTCTTAAAAATATTAACAACAAACTTTATTTCCATCTAATAAGAAAAAAATCCAACAGTCATGTTAAAGAGCTTAACAGAAATCTAATCCATTATTCTTCATCGTCATAGTCACCAAAACACCTAACATCTGTTGGAACCCAACAGTGCTGATTGACCTCGCTGCGAGTAAGCCCACTGTGAATCATTTAATACGACTCCAGTGAATAATTGTATTAGAAATTTAGAACATTTTTCTAGTTGAAATTTCACCATTTATATATCAGTCCTTTAAAAGTAGAAAGCAGCCGGTAGGAACGCCGGAATTCTGCATCTTCCCGTTGAATTAATGGAGTGGGGGACGTACTTATCTTATTGTTCTTGTCTTAACGTTCTTTAGGAAGGACAGACATTTTTATTAATTTAACAAAAAGTAAATATTTTTCAAATAGTTTTGAAAACTGTTTTGTTGGCTGTCCTTACTTTACCCCGCTGCTGCCATGCAGAAAATATGAGAGTGTTTGTTCTTAGGAGTAACATGCTGGAAAAGTTTATGGAGTCAATAAATATTACAGCTACTCACTTGTTTGGGGGGAGTTTTGTCCTACACAACTGGACTCCGCTGTGGTGTGGATAAAGGACACAAAAACAGTCAGATGATGAATGCAAGGTCTTTATACACATTATATTATCAGCATAACTACGTTTTGTTTTCTCAATACAAAGAAAAATGTTTTCTTCTGCGTAGGGTAAGAAGTGGATCCCTTTTGACGCGGGTGCCTTTGTGATTCAGTCAAATCCGTGCACCTCGTAAGATACAGAGCAACTCTGTTTGCTCTGGCGAACGATAAAAGAGAGCAGACAAATAAATACTGTACATCAAGATTTAGAAATAATAATAATAATAAAAACATGCTTTTTCTCAAAAGAATGTTTGATTAATATACTTAAACACTGCAGCATCTCCGGTAGGTAACACTTTAAAATGTCATCATCATTGGCAAACATGGGTACATCTGATTATATGGTTTTGTGTGTGTGTGTGTACACATGCATAAATCTGTGACAAATTAAAGGAAGGTCTATTTCAAAGTGTACTCGTCTCCTTTAAGGCCTTTTGAATTCCGTCCAAAAACATATGCAACATTTTTTCTAAAAATGTTCCATTTTTCCTTTTAATTTGTCACCAGTCATAATAGACTTTCAATAAAGTGCCTTCCTGCAACATCAGTGATTCCACACTGGGAGTGTATTTTATATGTTTTTTATTTTATGTATTTTTATGTATGGAAGAAGACTTTTTAAAAAATATCTGAATAAGATTAACATCTTTTTGAGCAAGTTCTCTACTTAACGACCTCAAGTGAGCAGAGGAATCACACTCAACGATCAGTGTTCAATAGTGTCCTGCTGTGGAGGTACACTAATAAATGTGTTGACCATGGTCAGTTACCATCCCTCCCCCTGAGAATACTGTAGATACACATCTGCAACAATCTACTCAGTATAGCATATTTTTACATTGAGTGTACACTGAGTGTACATATGCACCGTTGACACTCAGGACGTCGGGTTTACCCGGGCACCAGCAGACTCTTTGGCACCCAAGTAGTATATTTTCCTGCAATTAAAAATGTGAGAAGACATGAAATGAATCAGTGTGACAGAAATTCGAAATTACATGATATGAGCACAGAGTCGCTGCCTGAGACTGCTGACACGGTTCCAACTAACAGGATCCATAGAGTGCTCCTTAAAAAAGAAATGTAGGGGTGTCAGAACACATGAGAGAGAGGGATGTGCACATTTAATAATGCAACGAGGAAATGACAGTTGAACTCGAGTTCACCTAAAGTAGGGGTTTCAAACTCCTGGATCGGGACCTTTTATGGCCCAAAAATTGGCCATCAAAATTCAATTGTTTTGTTTGTTCGTTCATTAGAATGCTTTAGTTGCTTAATAAAATTAATTCGAATTAATTGTACTGTTTTGTGCTGTTGGTGTTGTAGTGTTATGGCCTCCAGACTCTTCTTATGTTCGTATGTCTGAGTTACATCGCGCTGTAAGAACACAGACTCTTCTGATGTTTTTGTGTCTGAGTCACATCGCGCTCTAAGAACGGAATTCCGACGTAAGTCGAGGACACCCTGTAATCGCCAAATCTGAATCTCGACTCTAGAACACGGTCATAAATCCAGTAGGTAGACGTCAAGTCTATACGTAGATTACATGCCTTGACTGTAAGAGAATTGAGTTAACTATGGTGACAGGTTTAGAGTGTCAACCTTTGACTACTGGAGCCAAGCCTTAATAATCGTTTCCTAAACCCACAATTAACAAATATGCATATTTTGTCCATAGTGTGTGATCATATACTGACATCAATTTATGATGGGAAAAAAACAGACGTAGACGTTGACAGC